TAATTAATTTTTAGTCCTTTTAATTGACATAGATACAAATACTCTACTAGGATGATGCACAAGATCCACCGAATAGGTATTGATCCAAATACCTCGAGATGGATTGTGATACATATTCATTAATAATATTTATTCATCTAAGTGGATAAATCTATAATATAAATATAGAGGCACTTCTTTTTGTTTCTAAAGAAGTTTTAAAATATATCTATTCTTTATGATAAAGAAGGGGGTGAGATTCCCATTTAATTTTTTGCGTTTCTTAATTTTGTATTCCGCTATTCCGACAAACAGTTTTTTTAGTCTTGCTTATCTTTATCTTATCTTATTTTCCTAGTTGTGCTCAGTAATGTGCACAGTACAAAGTTCCTGGTAGAGAACTTCTTTGAGGCATCCTATATTTTGTTCATATGAAGGAAATTAATATGCGATTTTCAAATAGGGGAATCCAAATGAAACCCTTTTTTACTCAGTCTATCTGGAATGCTTTTGTATAATTATGAATTAATTATAAATAGGTATTCCGTTTCATCTAGGAAAAGAACCTAAAAATATTCCTTGACTTGAATAAAATCTGGAGTTGTGTTGTATAAGTGAGCATGAATTTCTTATCATTCAATGAGCATCTTGTATTTCATAAAAATTGGGGGTTATATAATCCTTACGTAAGGGCCAGCATATCCAACTTTCAGGCATTAGGATATGTTTAAGGAGCGGATGATTATCGTAAGAGATTCCCACCATATCATAAGATTCGCGTTCTTGAAAATCGACACTTCTCCAAATCCAGAAGACAGACGAAATTCTAGGATTATCCTTTTGGGAAAAGACTTTTATGAAGACTTCTTCTGGATTATCTATACCATATTGTATTCTCGTAAGATGATACACGCTAGCTAAAGATCCACCGGATGTTACATCATAAGCACATTGGGAGCGTAACCATATACATATAAAATGACAGTAATGGAATCCCAATCCCCTACTTTTATTTGTAAAGTCTCTATTCCTCGGTGATCAAAGCCCAAAGATCTATGAACCACCTCATGTTTGACTAGCCAATTAGATAACAAACCCTACTGCATTGTCTTCATCTCTCCCTCTTTGTATAAATATTTCACATTTCGGATGCAAGTTTGAAAGATTGCCCTGCTTTTTATTTTTCTACACAAAAGAGCCCCCCTCCTAATTCACTCATTTGTAGGATATATCTAATGTAGATAGTGATTGATAGATCAATTCTTGCTCATAAGTTCCTCTATGAGTACTGTGCCTAACATAAAGTTTGTGACTGGTAGTAAAACATTAATTTTTATTTTGAGATAGAGTTTGATCCTCAACTATTTCTTGCGATATCTTCTTACGAAGTTTTGTTAGGGCATCTATAACTGCCTCCAGTTTAGGTGTGCAGCCCGGCAAGTAGACATGCATAGGAATTAACTTATCAACTCCCCGGACAGTACTATAGGAATCCGTACTAAACATTCCCCTTGTAATAGTACATGCTCCCATAGCAATGACATATTTTGGTTCTGGCATTTGCTTGTATAATCTCACTAAAGAGGGAGCCATTTTCATTGTTACCGTACCGACTGTTAAAATTAGTCCTACTTGCCTAAGACTTGATCTTGGTACCAATCCATAACAATCAAAGTCGAATCGTGAGCCTATTAATGAAGCAAATTCAATGAAACAACAACTGGTACCGTATAGAAGGGGCCATAAACTAGAGAGTCTTGACCAATTCGAAAGATCATTTGGTGTAGTTGAAATAACAGAATTGGAACTTCTTTGGTCAAGTAAGGGAAACTCAATCAAATTCAGAGTTGTCTCAATAGAATCTTTTCCTTCTTTTGTTTCTAAATGTTTTGTTAAGACCATTCCAAGGCTCCTTTTCGCCATGCATACACTAAACCAACAACTAAGATAAGCATGAAAATCAAAGCTTCGATAAAAACGGATACACCCATTATGTCGAAACTCATTGCCCAAAGGTATAGAAAGACGGTTTCCACATCAAAAACAACAAAAAACGAGTGCAAACATATAATAGCGTATTCGGAATTGTACCCAAGCCCCTCTCATGGGTTCTATACCCGATTCATAACTAGAAAGCTTCTTTGGTCCTTCACTAACCGGGGCTAAAAGTCTTGAAATCGAAAATGCCAAAATAGGAATAAAGCTTGCTATTATTAGAAATGTCCAAAAAATATGATATTCGTGAAGCAGAAACATAATGTACTCCCATTAATGTGGAATAGGCGGAACTTAAATTAGTCAATTCAATTCAGCATTGTCAATTTATCCAAAACTTCTGCCTTTTCCTCGCTGAAACAAGAATCTTTTTTGTTCAAACAAAAGCGCTTAGTTTAGCCTTTGTTTCCTCTATGCTGCATCTTCTTTAAAGATTCATCCAATGGAATGCCAACTCCCTTTCTTTTGGATTTCCATTCTATTTGGATATGCTCTATGTAGATCTAATTCTTATATAAAGAAAACTTTCTCGTTTCACTATGTCTCGCTTTCTCTAGAATCTCTAGAAAAAAGAATAGCTCTATCCTTTATTTAATATTTAATAATGAAATAATAAGAGACTATTAAATAAAAATGAGAATACAACTAAACTAGAACCGAATTAAGATAGTAGGACTAATCTATGCAGTATAATTAATGAGAAGTAATACTATAAAATAAAAATAAATTACTCTATTTTAGAACTATGAGACAAAATATTTTGTTTTCTTATTTACTCTTTACTTAAAGTCGATCGATTTACATATTGTATCAATAAACAAAGTAATAAATATACTTGAAACAAAGTAGGAATTCGCAAAATGGATAAAATCATTGCAGTTATTATAGGGAAGTCTACAGATATCCTATTTGAAGGAGGATGGGATTCAAATCAGGGAAAGGATCCTTTCTTCTATTGATTTGATAGAAATTCGTTTTTCTTTTCCTCTTTGTATGATTTTGATTTTCGATGAATGAGCCTTTGGTAATGCTTTTATCTCTATTCTATGTCGCACGCGCCTATCCAGTCTATAAACAAATACTAATGAGAAAATGAAAACTATACTAAACTAAAGAAACATAGGATATAGATCCTAAAATCTAAAAAAGGGCATATTAGGGCTATATGGATTCGAACAGTAGACCTTCTCAGTAAAATAGATCAAACAGATTATTATCGAAATGATTTGAACTGTTTCAAAGACCCAACATGCATTTTTTGCATTGGGCTCTTTCGTAAACTGATTTAAAGATTAGTTAGTCCACCATAGTTTTTCTTTACGGAAAGATAATGGAATGGCTCCCTGTGCTCTGATTGTTTTTTGTATTATGATCTATGTAGGAGCAATAACAAAGTGTTTCAAAGTAGGATTACCTAGATTTAGGTCTGCCTCCAGTCTAAATTAAATCAACCTAAGTGAAATGGTGCCTCTATCGTTCCACTACTAGAGTTAACTATGAGACTTCATACACCTTAAAGTTCATAGAACGAAAAGAAGATTTTTGGAGGCCCTTATCCTCATTACGCTTAGCATTTAGTGGGCTGGATATTTACCTTACCAACTAGAAAATCCATAAGGGTTCTATTTGATTAGGCACCTAAATTGGCACCTGAATCAGACTCAACCGACTGTTTGTCAGGCTACTGTTCTCCTATTCTCTCAAATCTATGAAGTAAGACATCGATTTTGCAATAAGATCAATTATGTTCATTGCATAATAAGCTCCTTTGAAAAGCATTGGCGCATGTGTAAACGAGTTGCTCTACCGAACTGAGCTATAGCCCTTATTAGAGATATCTTAACATATAGATAATATCTTCACAAGATGAATATTTTCTAATGCCAGAGGATACCCCTTTGATCTGTATCTGTTTAGTATTTAGTTTAGTATTTAGTATATAACAGACTAATAATAGAGTGGTATTGCTTAGAAAAGGGATTCAATATATAATCGATCGATATAATGGGTCTTCCTTTGTGGCGATAAATTGCCTACTTAACTCAGCGGTTAGAGTATTTCTTTCATACGATGGGAGTCGTTGGTTCAAATCCAATAGTAGGTAAGTAGGTAGAAAAATTACTAGATAGCATTGGACTTACTTCGCTTTGCTATCTAATAACTTTTTCTACTCCTCTTCCATTTTTCTTTGTATCAACTATAAACCACTGGATTGTCTGCAATTGGATGGGGAATCCAATTGATAGCCTCGATTCGTATCCTAGCTCGTCTGAGAGCGAGATTCGCTTCAACCAAATCTTTCGCACCCAGAGCTTTACTCAAGTTAGCTTCGGCTAATTCAAGTGCCTTTTGAGCTTCTTCCGGATCAATATCACTACCCAAATCCGCATCATTTCCTACAATGATGATCTCATTATTAACTATTCTCGCAAAACCGCTCCACAGAACCGCTACTAACCATTGGTCGTTGAGGATGTCTATTCTCAAAGGACCCATATCTACTGCTATGTTAACGGGGGCGTGAGTTGGTAATACGCCAATTTGGCCACTATTAGTGGATAAAATGATTTCTTTCACTTCACAATCCCAAATAATTTGCTTAGGAGTCAGTACATAAATATTAAATTTCATTTCCGTGATTTGTTCTCCTCTTCTAAGGTTATAGCTTTCGTGCTAGCTTCATCGATGTTACCCACCAAATAAAAATCCTGTTCAGGTAGGCCCTCTAATTCTCCAGAAAGGATTAGTTGAAATCACCTAATAGTTTCCGCAAGAGCAACATACTTTCCTGGAGAACAAGTAAAAACTTCTGCCATAAACAACGGTTGTGATAAGAAACGCTCATTTTTTCTTGCTCTTGCTACAGTTAAACGATCCTCTTCTGATAATTCATCCAAGACAAGAATTGCGATAATGTCCTGAAGTTCTTTGTAACATTGTAAAGTTTCCTTAACTCTTTGTGAAGTTTCATAATGTTTGTTGCCAATGATCCGAGGCTGTAACATAGTCGAGGTTGAATCTAAAGGATCTACTGCTGGATAAATACTATTGGAAGCTGATCCTCTGGAAAGTACGATAGTAGCATCCAAATGTGCAAACGGTTTGGCAGGGCAGGGTCGGTCAAATCGTCAACAGGTACATAAACTGCTCGAATCAAAGTTATAGATCCCTTTTTAGTAGAAGCAATTCTTTGTTGCAAGGAACCCATTTCTCTACTAACAGTAGGTTGATAACCCACTGCGGAGGGCATTCTCCCTAATAAAGCGGATACCTCTGATCCTGTTTGAACAAAACGAAAGATATTATCGATAAATAAAAGCATGTCTTGCTTATTAACATCTCGAAAATATTCTGCCATAGTTAGGGCAGTTAAACCAACTCTCATATGAGCTCCCGGTGGTTCATTCATTTGGCCATAGACTAGAGCTACCTTTGTTTCCTCAATATTTTCTCATTAATTACTCCGGATTCCTTCATTTCCATATAAAGATCATTCCCTTGATGAGTCTATTCCCTTACTCCACCCAATACGGATATGCCCCATGAGCTTTAGCAATGTTATTGATTAATTCCATGATCAGTACTGTTTTACCTAATCTAGCCCCCCCCAAATAGTTCTATTTTTCCTCCACGTCGATAAGGAGCTAAAAGATCGATGACCTTAATACCTGTTTCAAAGATGGATAATTTTGTATATAACTTGATAAAGTTAGGTGCAGATCTATGAATAGGGAACGTTGCACTACTATCTACAGGACCAAAATTGTCAACAGTCTCCACAAGAACGTTGAAAATTCGTCCGAGAGTAGCTCCATCGACCGGAACACTAGGAGGAGCTCGCGTGTCAATCACGCCCATTCCTCTCATCAACCCGTCTGTAGCACTCATAGCTACATCTCTAACTCAATTATTTCCTAATAATTGTTGTACCTCACAAGTCACATTGATTTGCTTATTTGCAGTGTCTCTACTCTGTACTGCCAAAGCATTATAAATATAAGGTAACTTGCCTGGGGGAAAAGTGACATCCAACACAGGTCTAACAATTTGATCGATATGACCTGTACTTTTTTCTTCAATTGTGGAAACCCCAGGAGGAGAAGTGGTAGGATTGGTTCTCATAATTATCACATAATTAAATAAGGAATTTGTCGAAATTTTTCTTTTTTTATTGTTGAATAATGCCAAATCAAATCAAAAAATCCAAAAGTAAAAAGGAAATGAATTAGTTAATTCAATAAGAGAGAAAAGGGGACCACGACTTTTTGTTGCCCAAGCGAATCCCATTCAATCGTTTACTCATGGAATGAGTCCGTTGGAAAGTTCAATCAATCTTTTTTTAATATACATTTTTCCATTTGTGGAGGAACTATGCCTATTCTACTTTCCTATCTAGGACTTCGATATACAAAATATATACTACTATGAAGCATAGATTGCTGTCAACAAAGAATTTTATTAGTTTTTAGTTAGGTATTTGCATTGAAAATAAGTGTCGGGGGAAACGACACCTATGGGATCACTGGGATCCCTTTTTGCTACAGTTGGCAGGCGTGAGGTTGTGCAAAGAGTGGATCCAGAAGCCAGCACGAGGATCGTTTACCCAGGATCGGGCCGCGAGGATGCGTAATACCCTAGTCCTGCTTTGGTGTATATTTGAGTGTTCTTGAGTTCTTGAACTAGCTACGATGCGTGCATCGTCCAAAAAATCCGAATCCTTCTCCAGTGCACCTCGGGCCTCCTTTTATAGTCAAAAGGGGCTGCCACAGTGGCACACAGGAGGTGGAAAGGTATACAGTAATCGAGTCTATCTCCTGGCACCGTAGGACAAACACATTTAATGCGCTACCGACGTGCCCTTCTTGCTTTATCGGGGACAGCAATGAAGCTCGTCCCAGCTGTCACCACCTCGTTTGGCTTTGGCGCGCGTCCGAACTAACGAGGCGTGTAGTGCCATGTTGGATGGCTACTGAGTTGGTGCGCTGGCTGAATCTTCACAAAGATCTGCATGCCACCACGCAGGTGCTTGTCGAGTCGGCCTAGAGGCCACACGTCGCCATGTAGGTGCCAGCCTAGCTGGTGGAATTGGAGCTGCATGGGAACGGCAGTGGAGTCTTGACAGAGGTGAGCCTGGCTGCGGCCCCGCGGATGTTTTCAGCAAGAGTCTTGCTGGGGCCCCAGCAAGGGTCTTGCCGCAACACCTTGGTCGTCCCTGGCAAGGCTCTTGCCTGGGGTCTTGTGGGTATGCTTGGCAAGGATCTTGCCGATGATCGTCGTCTTCTGGTCATCATCTAGTCTCGTGTGCTTCAGGTTTCCACAAAGATCTTCATGCCACCATGGAGGTACTTCTTGAGCCTTGGTTTCAATGTTGTCGACGGTGTCGTAACTCACAGGCTCAAGGGTGGCTGCGATGTTGGTGTTGGGAAAGTTGCCCCGACAAGGTTCTTGCCGGGTCTGCGGAGGCAGCCCCAGCAAGGGCATTGCCGGGGGAGTCCACCTCGCCCCTCTTCTCTTCGTGTTTCTGGCTTGGCATTCTTCTGGTAGTCTTGTGGCTTTGCTACCTTCGTCTGCCCCGCTAGGTGTGGCAGTAGGCGCAGCTCCAACTGCCCGCGCACAAGTAAAGGGGTACAAAATAGGACCCCTCCTTTTGTGCACTGATAGGAGCCCCCGGGCTGGGCCATACATAAGCGCGACGCGTTGTTGGGATAGGCCCAAAACAGTGCACGAGCATGCAGGGCCGAGTTTTACTGTTGTAACTCCCTCGCCCGTCGCACTTCCCCATGACCCGCATTTGAATGGAACTGGCACGCTTCACACTTGGTTACTAGCGCAGTTGCATCCTGGAGGGCGGTGGGACAGAAGAAACGTTGCTAGAACGCTTTGCCGGCAAGAGCCCTTGACCCTATGTGGGAGCCACACATGCCTCCATGTATCTCTGCCAAGAACCTCAGCCCGTCCTCTCGAGGAATGCACTTCAATTTCACACCGTTCAGTCTTCTCCTATAGATGGCATCATCCACGAACTGGAACATGCTGGACCGACATGCTACTTTCTCCGCTTCTTCCTGCTCCCCGGGGAGCTCTCCTGTTTCACTACAAAAAAAGACACATCCGTGACATTTTGGGCCGAACGATTTTTTTTTCTGTCATACTCATGACACTTCTATGACAATAATTGTGAAAAAACATGGTATCATCATAGATGTGGTGGGGTCCTACTTCTATGACAAAAAATCATGATAGAAAATGGGCTTTTCATCTTGGGCGGGCCGGAAACGCTACTCCATGACATTCTTTGGGCCGTCCATGACGGAAAAAACCATGGTAGATATCAGGGTGTTCCTGATTACGGTGGGTGGTCGGGGCCGAGTGATGTGAGTTTCTCTCATACACGCACGCGAGGCGTTGGGCTCTAACTGAACCCGAGCGATTGGACTGCAGGCTACGCATTACTGAACCCGAGCGATCGATCGATGGCTGTTAACTAAACCCGATCGAGCGATTCATTCGCTACTGCTACTAACTGAAGCCGATCAATGCTGCCTCTGGATGAAAAGTGAGCGTTGTTGGGGGGATGGATGAACAGTTCCTGGTGGGGGTGGATGAACAGGACCCCGTGGTGTTGCCTCTGGATGAACAAGGCCCCGATCGATCGAGCCGGTTGGGGCTGGATGAACAGGCCCCCGTGGAGGGCTGGATGAACAGGACCACCCCGTGGAGAGGATGATGAATAGTAGATGGTGGAGGGCTGGATGAAAAGTAGGATGTGGAGGGGTGGTTGAACAGGAGCTCGTGGAGAGGGCTGGTTGAACAGTAGCCGGTGGAGTAGCGCACAGTGGAGGCTGGATGAATAGGAGCCCGTGGATGAACAATGGCAGGTGGAGGCTGGAGGAGGTTGACGGTGGCTGAACAGTAGCTCGTGGAAGCTGGAGGGGGTCGATGGTGGAGATGAACAGTATCCCGTGGACTCCTGTTTTGCGGTACGCCACACCCCTCCTGATGAACAGGACCCTCGTTTCCACCGTGGCGCTCCAACACAAGTCCGTTTCCTTCGTCTTGCGGTACGCCACACCCCTCCTGATCAACAGGACCCCTGTTTCGACCGTAGGAGGTCCGCTTCCTCCGTTTTGCGGTACACCAGACCCCTCCCGATGAACAGGACCCCGTTTCGAACATGGCCGGTCGAACACAAGGCCGTTTCCTTTGTTCTGCAGTACGCCAGGCCTTGTTTCCATCGGCTGTTCCGTCCAAGCCCTCCCGATGAACACGACGATGCATTCCGTTCCGACCCAGCCGGTTGGCTCCCCATGAACACGATGACGATGCAGTTTCTCTGTTCCAACCCATGCATGTACACGACCCCTGGTCGTATGTATGCACGAGTAGGCGTTCGAGACCCTGCCCGTATGTATGTTTGTGGCCGTATTTTCTTTCCTGCACACTGGCCGTTGTACGTACGTGTAGATGCTATGTGCGCGCATCTACATCGACTAGTATGTACGTACACGTTCGCAACCAGAATGACAACGCTACGTACACTTCGACCCGGTGGGTCCCGACTGTCAGGCACTTCCTTGCGTGCGAAGATGTAGCTGGTGGGTCTAAGCAGTTAGGGGGTGAATCGTGTTTTTTGCCCAGACGCACTTCTTTGCGTGCAAAGACGTAGCTGGTGGGTCCCAACAGTCAGGGGGAAATGTTTTTTTTTGTGAAATACGGTGGCCCGTCCGGTGGGTCCCCGCTGTCAGGTTGAGGAATAATTATTTTGCGCGTAATGAGGAGGCACTTCCTTGTTGTGGCCGTGGACCCAGCTGTTAGCCTCTCCATGTAAGTTGTTCCTTGACACGGTTGACCACGCCGCGCCAAGAGCACCAGGGCGGTGGACGACGGCGAGGCCTAGGAAGGGGACGATGCAGAGTCGGGCAAGACGCGGCAGTGGAAGCCCGCGCAGAGAGGAGTATGAGGGTTCACTGGTTCAGCTGCGGTGTGAGGCTGCCATCGCTGCAGG